AGAGAGAGAGAGAGAGAGAGAGAGAGAGAGAGAGAGAGAGAGAGAGAGAAACCTTTTAAAACTCAGAGTGAAGGTTTTGCTCATTTCAAACCGCCAAAGGGGGGGAAAATGCATTTCTTCACACCTGGTAACTGTCTTCATTGTAAGATTTTGAGCATGACTTTACTGGCATGAGAAATAAATGCAATGGTTCAATAGCTGCTGCAGTCTTTAAGGTCTCCTTTCTTGGAATTGGAATGTAAATCGAGTGTTTCCAGTCAGTGGGGCATTGTTTTGATTTCCATTTTGGCACAATTTCCACTCCATGTTCATCTAAATTTGACCCAGTTTTCCTTATGATGCGTTCTGCATATGGATTGAAGAGACAGGACGATGATCTACATTCTTGTCTGACACCTTTGCCAACTGGAAACCCTTCTGTTTCTCTGTATCCTGTCCTGGCAGTAGCCTTGTGTCAGGAGTACAGGTTGCGCATCAAAACAATCAGATGTTGTGGCCAGCAGTCCCTCTAGGCTGTGGAGTCTTGTGAGCAAAAATTCTACTTTGTGAGCGACTGGTATTAAAATTATGAGCGAGCGATTTGGCTGCTGCATAAATTAGTTTGGTCTGGAGCAATGCTCCCTCTAAGCTGTGGAGTCTTGTGAGCAAAAATTCTACTTTGTGAGGGGCTGGCATTAAAGTTGTGAGTGAGCGATTTGGCTGCTGCATAAATTAGTTTGGTCTGGAGCAATGCTCCCTCTAAGCTGTGGAGTCTTGTGAGCAAAAATTCTACTTTGTGAGCGGCTGGCATTAAAATTGTGAGCGAGTGATTTGGCTACTGCATAAATTAGTTTGGTCTGGAGCAATGCTCCCTCTAAGCTGTGGAGTCCTGTGAGCGAAAATTCTACTTTGTGAGGGGCTGGCATTAAAGTGGTGAGTGAGCGATTTGGCTACTGCATAAATTAGTTTGCTCTGGAGCCCTCCTTCCTGAGCTAAGACCAAAATGTGTGAGCCGGAGGCTAAAAAACTGTGAGGTGGCTCACACTAGCTCAGCTTAGAGGGAGCACTGGTTGTGGCACACCCGCTTTCTTTTTAAACCAACCTGACCTACACGGTCAAAAGCATTGCTGTAGTCTATGAAACACAAAGCTGATTTTCTTCTGAAATTCTCTCGTACGCTCCAATAACCAACATAAACTTGCGGAAGGATCTCTAGCACCTCCTCATTTTCTGAATCCAGCTTGAGCATCTGGCATTTCTTGTTCTGTACATGGCGAAAGTCTTTCTCGTAAGATTTGGGCATCACTTTACTCATGCGAGAAATTAATGCGATGGTCCAATAGCTGCCACAGCGAGGTCTCCTTTTTTTGAAGTTGGAACGTGAATTGAGTGTTTCCAGTATGTGGGCCACTGTTTTGTTTTCCATATTTGTTGGCAGAATCTTGTTAAGGTTTTGACGAAGTCTGTTTCTGTGGCTTGGTATCCCTTCTACTCCGGGTGATCGGTTTCCCCCAACTGCTTGTTGAATGTCATAAGCTTCAGACTGTGTGATCATGCCGATCTATTTGACAGGTGTCTGACAGTCAGGAGAACCAGCACAAACCGGTTCTGACTGGAGCTATGCTGAGCAATCGCACAGTGACTCAGTAGTAAGCTGATTGGCTGGTCAGTGTATATAAGTGTACGCAGTCCGTACAGTGTGTGTCCTTCTTCTTGTATGAGCGTATGGCGGAGCACTTGGTCCGAGAGAGCTGTAAATATATTGTAAATAAATCACTGTATATAGTTTACCACAAGGACTGTGGTGAGTGTGGTTTACTACAGTGGAATCTTAGCAGGGTGCAAATTGGATCTTTGGTGGAAAGCTGATCCGGTGACGCTGACTGCGCGACACGTCTGCGCGACACTGCTATCAGTGTGCCTTTCACTTCATTTTCTTCAAAAGGTTCTTCTTTGGAAGGGATCTGTCATCCTTTCATCTTTTTTGTATAGTTCTTCAATGTATTGTTCCCATCTTTTCTCTCGTTGTTTAATTTTGTCCTGCTCAGTTAATATGTTTCCATTTTGATCTTTCAGCATGCCTAGCCATGCTTTAAATTTCCTTTTGATTTTCTGGGAACTTGTGGAACAGCTCTCTTGTCCTTCCTTTTTTGTTCTTCTGTTCTGTTTCTTTACTTCAGTTATTATAATAGCTCTCTTTGTCTCCACGTGCAAGTGGCCGGGACACTGCATTTAGACTTCTGATTCTATTTCAGCCTCCTTTTACTTTTGCCTCTTGTGTCTCCTTAGCAATTTTAAGAGTTTCGTCAGGTCGTCCATTGAGACTCTTCATTTCTTTTGGCTCCAGGAATAGCCTTTGCGCGTTCTTCCTTGATAATATCTCCGGTTTCAACCCACAGTTCTTCCTGTTCATGTTCAGTTGAACTTAGTAATGCAAACCTGTTCTGTACGTGGACTGAAAACTCTTCAGGAATGTTGTTTAGATTGTCTTTTGGCACTGTGAATGTGCTGACGTTCTACTTCAGCTTTACCCTGGTTCTTGATACTGACAGTTCGTGGTCTGCAAATTAAATTGATTAAAGCGTGAAATCCGCTGTCAGTGTAGGTAGCGAGGGCTACAAGCAGGGGTTTGCTTCTTGGTTTTATTTATATTACTCTTAGTTTGCCGTTCTCCCTGTCATTCAAGGTGGATACACTTGAACACATGAAGCTGCCTTATGCTGAATCAGACCATCAGAGTCAGTATTGCCTACTCAAACTGGCAGCAGCTTTCCAAGGTCTCAGGCTGAGGTCTTTCACATCACCTACTACTTGGTCCGTTTTAACTGGAGATGCCACCAGGGATTGAACTTGGGATCTTCCGCTTGCCAAGCAGCATCTCTACCACTGAGCCATATCCCATCTCTGCAGCTCTACAGGGTCTCAGGTTGAGGTCTTTCCCATCACCCTACTGCATGGTGCTTTTAACTTGGAGTCGTAGTAGATAACTCACTGAAAACGTCGACACAGTGGGTGACTGCAATAAAAAAGGCCAAACGCTATGTTGGGGATTATTAGGAAGGGAATTGAAAACAGATCAGCCAATATCATCATGCCCCTGTATAAATCAATGGTGCGACCTCATGTGGAGTACTGTGTACAGTTCTGGTTACCACACCTCAGAAAGGGTATTCTAGCATTGGAAAAAGTGCAGAAAAGGGCAACTGGAATGATCAAAGGGTCGGAACACTTTCCCTATGAAGAAAAGGTTAAGGCGCTTGGGGCTCTTTAGCTTGGAGAAACGACGACTGAGGGGAGACATGATCGAGGTTTATAAGATTATGCATGGGACAGAGCAGGTAGAAAAAGAAGTACTTTTCTCCCTTTCTCACAACACAAAAATTTGTGGGCATTGGCCTGGTCCCACATTGGCTTCTTATATGTTCTTAACTGGAAGTGCTGGGGATTGAACTTTCTGCAGGCCAAGCCAATGCTCTATCACTGAGCCACAGCCCCTCCCTACCTTTGGTCCATCACAGTCAGTATTGTCTACTCAGACTGGCAGCGTCTATGTGGGGTCTGTGGCAGAGCCCTTTCACATCACCTACTATCTCATCTTTTTAACTGGAGATGCCAGGGACTGAACCTGGGACCTTCCGCATGCCAAGCAGATGCCCTGCCACTGAGCCACATAGAATAAATCAGCACGACCACATGGAATAAATTAATACAATCAACAGAGTGGGACATCCAAAAGGCAATGAATAGGGATCTGACTTGTAGAGATCTGGAAACCCGCCAGAGAGGAAACAGAACATGACACAGTCAACGGAAGTAAAAATTACCGCCGTAGGATAAGAACATAAGAGACGCCAATGTTGGATCAGGCCAAAGGCCCATCCAGTCCAACACTCTGTGTCACACAGTGGCCAGAAATACCAGTGCCATCAGGAGGTCCAGCAGTGGGGCCAGGACATTAGAAGCCCTCCCCCTGTTGACCGCCCCCCCAAGCACCAAGAAGACAGAGCATCACTTGCCCCAGAGCCCCTATCTATACCTTGTGGCTAAGAGCCACTGATGGACCTCTGCTCCATATGCTTATCTAATTCCCTTTGGAAGCCATCCATGCTTCTAGCCGCCACCACCTCCTGTGGCAGTGAATTCCATGTGTTAATCACACTTTGGGTGAAGAAGGACTTCCTTTTATCCGTTCTAACCCGACCGCTCTGCAGTTTCATTGCGTGCCCACGAGTTCTTGTCTTGTGAGAAAGGGAGAAAAGTACCTCTTTCTCTACCTGCTCTTTCCCATGCATAATCCTACTTATACCGACAGATAGTACGAAGTATACACAGCAGTGGAGTCTACAGTCCCTGATATTTTACCCCAAGTTTTGTTATGAACCATATTGTTACAGTGCAGCCCAATTCCCTGTGCAAAAAATCTCTCTTGAATAATTCAGTTTTGCACAGTTTGAGAAAAGGCAGGAGCCCTCGTGAACTCATGGTGCAGACCATTCCCATGAGGTGGGGGTGGGTGGGCCTCAGCAGAGATTGTCTGGGCATTTAAAGGGGGATTAGATGGACTCCTCGGTGCCTAAAGGAACCTCTCTGTGTTCAGCGGGGGCCTCTTTTTATGATCTTTATCAGAGAACAAGAAGTCCCTGTCCCTCCCGCGAGTGAGGAATTGATTTGGGTATAACATCTGCTGTGCAATTAGGTAAACTGACTAATTGATCTTTTTCTCCTCTGTTTTGCTGCTAGGGGCACCGGGAGCAAATTCTTTGAAAAAGTCACTCGAGGTAAGCTTCAGGGGCTGCCCGTGCGTGTGTGTGTGTGAGTGTGTGTGTGTGTGTGTATTCTCCCATTCCTTGCTAGGGCTGACAGGTCAGTCAGACTCTTCTAAAATCGATCAGTCGTGTTCTAACTCACTCTAAGAGGTCTTTGTGCTGCGAGAAGAACGCTGACGGTATCATAAACCAGGGACTGGGAACTTGATCGAGGAGCAGGCAAGAGGGCCTTTGGGTTTAAAGCCCTGAGTTTTTCAGCCTTTTCTCCAACGCCCAGCCAGCCAGAACTAGGATGCCAAGAGGACCCCCGTAAGCCACCAAGACACTGTTTCATCAGAGCCGTGATCTGGTGCAAACACCTCTGCCAACGAGACCCCAGAACAGTCAGTGATTGTTTGAGTTGCGGAGAGAGTGCTTTGGATGCCGTTGCGTGACGAACGCTAAAACCGATTTTAGTTCGGTCCTTCTTCTGTCCAGGTGTCCGGGTGGGCTGACTTCAGGCTGAGATCCGGGGGGTGGGGACTTACCAGGAGAGGGACAGAGGCTACGTCACTTCTGTCGTGCACCGGGAGTGACCTCATCGCGCTGTGACATCACATCCACACTCTGGTATTGGGGGGGGGGGACTCTGTATGAGAAAATGGCTTCTACCATAGAGTTTTTGCCCAAATACCAGAGCGGTCACTGGCGTGATGACATCACTTCCTGTGCACACTGGAAGCGATGTCGCCATATTGCCAGCCGTGTTGCCCATGCCTTCCTCTTTCATCTGTAAGTCCCCCGGTTGATTGGCAGCGGGGGAACCCTGCCTCCTTCCACAATGGGGGGGGGTCTGGCAACCCTCCTCAGTTACAGCTGATCGCCAGACAAAGACCCGTCATCCTAGAAAAAATGGCTGCTTTGGAGAGTGTAACTTGCCAGTTTGGTAGAGTGGTTAATCTGGGAGAACCGGGTTTGTTTCCCCACTCCTCCACTTGCACCTGCTGACGTGACCTTGGGTCAGTCACAAGCTCTGGCAGAGCTGTCCTTGAAAAAGAGCAGTTTGTGTCAGAGTTCTCTCAGCCCCACCCACCTCGCAGGGTGTCTGTTGTGGGGAGGGGAAGGGAGAGGAGTTTGTAAGGTGCTCTGAGACTCCAAGTGAAGGGCGGGGTATAAATCCTATCTCTTCTCTTCTCTTCTTCTTCTCTTCTTCTTGGGTGTTTCCCAACATGGAGTTGGCAACCCGGCCTAATTGTTAAGTGTCCCAAGACCAAGGCCCTGCCTGGTCTTACACAGTCAAGCCCCTGGTGGGAGGTATGGGGTGCCTTTCCTGCCGCAGGCGTCACTCTTCTGAGCACGCCACGGCTTTGCACTGTGCTTCTCTTGCGGACTTTCCATCGAGGCGCTTCAGGGATACACGGGAGCAGAGGGCACACGTGCACACTCACACTGCCTTGCTGCCTTCTGCTGCCGATATGCAGCGGTGAAAGCGGAATGCACATGTCCAGGAGCAGGCCGGGACTGGCCCCTCCCGGACTAACCCAGGAGTCACAGGATGCCCACTTGGGAACTCTCAGTCCCGGCAGTAGAAGGGGAATCCCACCGGGACAGTGGCGGTGAGGAGAATGGCTGCACTGCAGGATGGGCCCTTTAAGGCTCCGACTCAGCCACACCCATCAGCCGCCAAGCCAGCCAGGAGGAGGGATCCGGGGGCAGCAGTGATGCCGTATGGGCCCTTTAAGGCCCCTCTTCGGTCACAGCCACTGGCAGTTCAGGCAGGGCAGTGGGAGGGGAGAAGAGGCTGCAGGTGCAGGGGGACATCTCGTGAGATTGTTGGTTCTCCTGAGGTTTCAGGGGAATTGACTGAGCATGTGCAGCCTGCTGCCCCGGCTTCACAAGGGGCTTACAAGCAGGCCAGGGAAGAAGAAGAGAAGAAGAGATTGGATTTATACCCCGCCCTTCACTACCCAAAGGTGTCTCAGAGCGGCTTCCACACTCCTTTCCCTTCCCCCTCCCCACAACAGACACCCCCTGTGAGGCAGATGGGGCTGAGAGAGCTCTGACAGAAACTCCTTTTTTTCAAGAACAGCTCTTATCAAAACTACGGCTTGCCCAAGGTAATCCAGCAGGTGCAAGCGGAGGAGTGGGGAATCAAACCCGGTTTTCCCAGATTAGACAACAGACACCCTGTGAGGTAGGTGGGGCTGAGAGAGCTCTGACAGAAATGGCTCTTTTTCAAGGACAGCTCTTGTCAGAACTATGGCTTGCCCAAGGTCATCCAGCCAGCTGCAAGTGGAGGAGTGGGGGACTCAAACCCGGTTCTGCCCGATTAGAGTCTGCGCACCTAACCACTGCATCAAACTGGAGTTGAGTTTCTACCCTGCCCTTCACTCAGAGTCTCAGAGCGCCTTACTATCTCCTTTCCCTTCCTTTTCCCCACAACTGACACCCTGTGGGGTAGGTGGGGCTGAGAGAGCTCTGACAGAAACTGCTCATTTTTTTTTACAATATATTTTATTGGTTTATTCAATATTACAAAGAGATAAAAACCATTGAACATTACGTGTATACGACAAAGTAAGTAAAACGTTAAGAATTGTGAGTGTAAGTACATTATAGTAGGAAATAATTTGAGAATACGTTGTGCATTTGGTGAGATACAGACCAAGAATTTTTTGTACAACTAGATGTCAGCATAATTGATGAAAAGTAAACAGTTGAGTAATAAACACAATCAGTATTGTAGCCCTTAACCATCTAAATTACCATGGCCTTAGGCCGTCTATTACTTTGGGAGTATCATCATTTCCCGAGAGATATTCCAAAATTGGAAACCAGATTGCAACAAATGAAGTAGGAGCAGAAACTGCTCTTTTTTCAAGAACAGCTCTTATCAGAACTACGGCTTGCCCAAAGTCACATCAGCAGGTGCAAGTGGAGGAGTGGGGAATCAAACCCGGCTCCCCCAGATTACAGTCTGCGCACTTAACCATGACACCAAACTGGTGGAGGTTCTGTCTCCAGGCTGTTCAGGACAGACCCAGTGGAGAGGAGGAGGGGCTCCCAGGTGCTGCAAAACCCCTCCCCTCTCCAGTTCTGAAGCTCTGCAAGTCCATGTAAGACCGAAAACGGGTGCGATGAGTAAGGGCAAGGGACCCCCACCAACACGCGTTGCGTGAAAGGGTCGTTTGCCACGGGGGCTGTGCATCCGCTGCAGCACCCCTCCTGTGCTATCCAAGCTTCCCGTGGTAGAGATGAGAGAGTCTAGTTGCTTATCTTGGGGTTCTGGCAGACTTGCCGAGTCCTGCCTTTGTCCTGCAGAGCGTGAGAATCTGCCCTGGAATACAGCCCTCCACTTGATCACCGAAGGATTACGGTCACGCACAGGCAACCTGCATTGTTGGGCATTGCTAGTCATTTTACTGAGAAACCCCCAGGGGGATTCTTAGGACAACCTGTGGTCTTGAAACCCTCTGGCCTGGAATTCTGTTCTTCTGTGGACCCTTCTCTGCCCCCGATTCCCAGAACGAGCTCTTCTTATTCTCACATAGACACAAGCAAATATCCTTCTCCCTTTGCCCAGTTCCACAAGGGAGCCAGTGTGCCTTCTTAACTTCTTAACTTGGTGCAGTGGTTAAGTGCACGGACTCTAATAAGAACATAAGAACATAAGAGACGCCAATGTTGGATCAGGCCAAAGGCCCATCCAGTCCAACACTCTGTGTCACACAGTGGCCAGAAATACCAGTGCCATCAGGAGGTCCAGCAGTGGGGCCAGGACATTAGAAGCCCTCCCACTGTTGACCCCCCCCCCCAAGCACCAAGAAGACAGAGCATCCCTTGCCCCAGAGCCCCTATCTATACCTTGTGGCTAATAGCCACTGATGGACCTCTGCTCCATATGCTTATCTAATTCCCTTTTGAAGCCGTCCATGCTTGTAGCACCCACCACTTCCTGTGGCAGTGAATTCCATGTGTTAATCACTCTTTGGGTGAAGAAGTACTTCCTTTTATCCGTTCTAACCCGACCGCTCTGCAGTTTCATGGAGTGCCCACGAGTTCTTGTATTGTGAATCTGAGAGAACCGGGTTTGATTCCCCACTCCTCCTCCTCTTGCACCTGGCTGGATGATCCTGGGCAAGCCGTAGTTCTGATAAGAGCGGTCCTTGAAAAAAGAGCAGTTTCTGTCAAGAGCTCTCTCAGCCCCACCTGCCTCACGGGGGGTGTCTGTTGTGGGGAGGGGAAGGGAAAGGAGTTTGTAAGCCGCTCGGAGACACCTTTGGGTAGTGAAGGGCGGGGTATAAATCCAATCTCTTCTTCTTCTTCTTCTCATGGTTAAGGAAGCACGAAAGGAGCATCTTATTTGTACACATGGGATTGAATGAATGGTCCTGACCTGGATGGCCAAGGGTAGGCCGATCTCGTCAGATCTCAGAAGCTAAACAGGCCCAGCCCTGGTTAGTATTTGGATGGGAGACCTCAAGGAAGTCCAGGGTTGCTGTGCAGAGGCAGGCAATGGCAAAGCACCTGTGTGCGTCTCTTGCCTTGAAAACCCTTTGAGGGGGTCATGATAGATCAGCTATGACTTGACAGCAGTTTCCACCACCAGGCCTTGTGGCTGTTAAGAACATAAGAGAACATAAGAGAAGCCAATGTTGGATCAGGCCAGTGGCCCATCCAGTCCAGCACTCTGTGTCGATTTTAAAATTTGGTTTCTATGTTTTTAAAATGTTTTATATTTTATGTATTTTATCTCTGTTGTAAGACACCTTGAGCGCCATAAAGAATAAAAACAGCTAATAAATGTTTAAAATAAATAAAATAAACAGAAGGAACTGTACCACTTCAAACTGCAGGTAAGGAAATACCATTTTCGAATGTACCTATAAAATCCAGAAATCTATAAAATCCAGAAATTGATGTTTAGTCATGCCGGCCACATGACCATGGAGAAGTCTTTGGACAACGCTGGCTCTTTGGCTTGGAAAAATGGAGATGAGCAGCGCCCCCTAGAGTTGGATTTGACTAGCTTTCAAGCAAGTGAAACCTTTACCTTTATAAAATCCAGAAATCTATCACAGCACAGGGTAGAAAGTTTTCACTCAGATGCTTTAATCTTCTCCTTGCAGAGACTTCCTTCCCCTCCCCCAACAAAGTGGATTATTCAAACATGGAATCCCACATGTGTGGTATGAAGTGGCATAGTTCGTACTGTCATTGTGCCTCATTCTGCTGCATGTGGAGATCAGGCCCAGCAGAGATGAAAATGGCTTACATTTCTTACTGGTACTGTTTCTCTCTGGGAGCTTGAAGCAGAAAACAGGTGGTACCTCTTCAGCTGCTTCCTTACCACTGGTCTGTACTGGCCCATCATGCCTATTTACTTTCACCCCTGAGATGAGACCAAAGTTCCTAGTCTCATATAGACAGTTCTTCCATCTCCCACTCCTGTTTTCCAGGCCAAGTTCTTTTCCATGTTCAGCCATGGCAGTGCACTCAAAGAAGAGGAGATACGAGAGGAGGTGGAGCGTCTGAAGGGCGAGATGAGAAGGGTCAGCACCTATGCACTTGGTAAGCCCTGCTTTTCGTAAAGGCAGGCCTGAGGCAGCACTTAGGCTGTGCTCTAAGTTCTTTTCGCTGCTTTGTTCCTCTCCAAAGCGCAGCCATCATCATCTATATATCTAACAGCCAAGTTGCCCCCTCCGTGCAGATAATTAAATCCGCACATCGGGGGCACTTGGGGGACAGAGAGATTTTCCTGCACACTTGGAGCAGTCCCCAGGAGTGCAGAAAAATCTAAAAAGTTGAAAAAAATATACGGGGGAATATTTAAATCCCCCCAAAAGTAAAAGCGTTCTCTGCGCATGCGCAGAGAATGCTCTCGGTCGTGGGGGGGAGCCGCTCAGGCCTCGCCGCCAATGCCGGGGGGGGGGAGCGGGAGAAGGATTCGTGGGCCCGGGCCTCACCGTCAGTGTGGGGGGAAGGGGGGGGAGAAGGCTCACCTGCGGCTGCTTCCTCCTCCGCATGGAGCTCCTCCCCCCGCGCGAGTATCACGGGTCCCTGCTTCTTATGCTTATCTAAGTCCCTCTTGAAGCCATCCATGCTTGTAGCCTCCGCCACCTCCTGTGGCAGTGAATCCCATGTGTTTTTATGCTATTACTGTTTTTGTAGTTTTTTTATGTTACCAATGGCCTTGTAAGCCGCCCTAAATCAAATGAATAAATAAAAATCCACAGCCACATGTCTGAGATGTTTTTTTTTAAAAGACCTATGTTTTTCTTGTCGCCTTTCCTTTTGCTCCCGGACCCTAGATGGCAGGATCCTCGGGGCACTCTTCGCAGACGATCAAGAAAGGGCACAGGGGCGTGGACTCCACGGGCGAAACCACCTACAAAAAGGTAGGTGCCACTTTGCATTT